TGTCTAATTTTTGTTGTTTCCTTTTTGATTCGAGTGCTTTTTCTGCAGTTGTGTGTCCCATTTGTATTGTTTTGTGTCTTGTTTATTCATCTTGTGTCTCGTTTTTGTGATTTTGTGTCTCATTTGCGTTGTTTTGTGGCTTGTTTTTGTCATTTTGTCTTGTTTTTGTGGTTTTGTGTCTCGTTTTTGTGATTTCCTTTTTGATTCATGCGCTTTTTCTGCAGTTTTGTGTCCACTTTGTGTCGTTTTGTGTCTAGTTTTTGTGTTTTTGTGTCTCATTTGCGTTGTTTTGTGTCTTGTCTGTTGTTTTGCGTCCACTTTGTGTCGTTTTGTGTCTCGTTTTGTCTTTTGCTGTTTCATTTGTGTTTCTATCTGCAGTTTTCTCGATTTTGTCGTTTAGCTTCCTGTCATGTTTTGTCTATTTTTGTTGTTGTTGTTTTTCATGTACTGTCTTGCTTCTCGTCGGCGTCGAGACATTTTAACAACACGTACAACCTGGATCGGAGTTTGAGACGTACCGGTTGAGGAGTGTCCTGACACCTGCTGACTGGAGACCAGAGACCTGGAACTCAACCCTGCAACACAGAACAGGACAAAGGAGCAGGACTGAGCAGAAAGCTTCCTGAGTACAGACACAGCATAAACACACAACTGTTGGTTTGTTGAGGAACACTGAGCTAAAGACAATTTAACGTAATAAATCCTCGTTTTTGTCCCTTGATGAGAGCAGAATTCATACTTTACAGAGTCTGAAACACTTTATTATTCAGAATTAACTTCATCATCATCCGTCAGCTGAACATAGTTTTCTGTTGCATTTTTAACCACATTCAGGACGTAACGCAGATCAGAACCAGTGACTAACTACTAACTAATGACTGTAGTTTTTTAGCAGCTGTCTGGTGATGTATCCGGGTTTTGTGTTTCAGGCCTGCCGAGCGACGGAGGACGTCTGTGTAAATGTTTTGCAGCGAGCAGACAGGATTCTCATTAACCTCGTCATTAATACGAACCAGCAGCTCCGCGGAGGTTCGCTGGGACGCAACCGGAACAGATGGCTGCTCCGAAACTAACTGCTGCGCTTTTACACTCGGCGGCTCGGCGCTCGGCTACCTCGCGGTGACAGCTGTCATTCTGGCAGCTAACATCTGGATTTGTGGCTGACGGGCTGACGGGCCGGGGGGATTCGGGGACGGGCGTGCAGCTCGCTGAGCATCGACAGGCTTTATTCTGTCACCTTTAGCTGCACACAAACAGCCTCACCTGGTCCTCGGTGTCACTAGTCCAGGTGTGGATCAGATTCTAACATCTGCACGGACGGATGGAGCCTCAGCAGCTCCATGAAGCGACGCTCTTTCCTCAGCATCACGAGATAACGCTTTATAATCATCAGCTTGCATGTATATATATATATATATATACAT